TCAGGCTGAACCAAGCCACAGCAGCTCCACCTTGAGTTCAGGTGCAAGCACAGCAGTAGCTAATGTTAACCCCATCGTCTCCAGTGGCATGGGAGGAGGTGATAAGCTCACCAGTTATGTCAGGACTGAGGCATGGGAGGGGAGTGAGAGGTTTATCATGGAGGCCAAGGTCAATGATGTTGAATGCACGGGATGGCGAGACACTGGCTCGGATGTAACTATAGTCAAGGGACATCTGGTGAAGCCGGAGGACATGCTGCCAGGGGAGTATGTGACGGTAGTGGCGTTATCCGAGTACTCTGTGGACCTGCCGATGGCTAGAATCCACCTGGAGTGGGATGGCTTTAAAGGGGAGGTGAAGGCTGCTGTCCGGGATTTGATTCCGGCTGATGTTTTGGTAGGAAATAACATATTGGGGGTGCCTGGCCAAGTTAATGTAGTGACCAGGTCACAGAAGGAATTTGGGGCTGTGGCAGATACCCTGACTGATGGCAGTGAAGGGGGCAGCAAACAGACAGAGAGTGCCTCTCAAGATGGATCAGGTGAGGGTTTGTCTGAGATATCAGAGATGATTCTGAATCCAAACAAAACCCGGAGTGAATTCATTGTGGCTCAGCAGAGCGATGTATCTCTAGAGAGAGCCAGGAATGATGCTCAGAGTCAGGTCCCAGCCTGTGAAGAGAGAGGCAGGTTTTTTATGCAGGATGGGCTGTTGTATAGGGAACCGCCTAGGGGAAGAAAGAATTCCCAAGCAGCAGCTCGCGAACAGCTTGTGGTACCTGAGAGTTACCGCAATGATTTGTTGAAGTTGGCTCATGATAGTCCCTTTGCAGGACATCTGGGTATAGGCAAAACGTGTGACAGGCTAGAGCAGAATTTCTACTGGCCTCACCTTTTTGGGTCAGTGAGAGATTACTGCAGGAGCTGTGAGCTGTGCCAGAAGCGTAAGGGGTTAAGGGGGCCTAGCAAGGTGCCCCTCCAGCCTCTGCCCATTATTGGGGAGGCTTTTGCCAGAGTAGCTGTGGATATTGTGGGGCCCCTCCCAAAACCTTCCAGAAATGGGAAGAAATACATCCTGGTGTTGGTAGATTTTGCTACCAGATATCCGGAGGCTGTAGCCTTGGCTAATATCGAGGCAGAGACAGTGGCAGTGGCCTTATTCTCTATTTTTAGCAGAGTGGGTTTTCCCAAGGAAATATTGTCTGACCGTGGGTCTAACTTTATGTCTGTGGTTTTCAGGCAGTTGTGGGAGTTATGTGGGGTGAAGCACCTGAAAGCCGCTCCCTACCACCCCCAGACTAATGGTCTAGTGGAGAGGTTCAATGGAACCCTGAAGTCTATGTTGAAAATGTATGTGGATAGACGCCAGAATGACTGGGATGTTATGCTGCCGTATCTATTGTATGCATACAGGAGCGTGCCCCAAGAGTCTACAGGGTTTGCTCCCTTTGAACTGCTCTATGGGAGGCAGGTCCGGGGGCCCCTAGATTTGGTTCGTGACTCGTGGGAAGGTAATGTGGAGGAGGCAGAGCAGCCGGTGGCCGAGTATGTGGCTCAATTCAAGGAGAGTTTGCAGGAAATGATGAAGTTGGTTGAGCAGAATCTGAAAGAGAGCCAGGATACTCAGAAAGCCTGGTATGACAGAGATGCTAAAGAGAGAGCGTTTGAAATAGGGGACATGGTGTTGGTGCTAGATCCTGTCCGGAAGAACAAGATGAAAGATGTTTGGTCTGGACCCATGGAGGTAGTGGAAAGGATTAATGAGGTTACCTATGATGTGAGGAAGCCCCAGGTCCAGGGAAGTGTGCAGACAGTGCATGTGAACAGAATGAAGGCTTATCATGCAAGGGAGGTAAATGTGAACGTGATCTGTTATTCTGAGGAAGAGGCAGGGTCCGTCCCTTTAATTGACATGGTTGCTGAAAGCCAGGAGGAGACGCCTCTCGAGAGCATTGAGATGGGGGAGGATTTAACCCCCCCTCAAAGAAAGGAACTGCTGATGCTGTTAAAACACCACAAGCGAACATTCTCCAATAGGCCAGGGCTCACAGATAGGATGACACACTCCATTCAGACGGTGGGTCCCCGCCCAGCCCCTAGCAGAGCTTACAGGGCCAAGGGAGAGATGCAAAGACAGATCCAGGAAGAGGTGGAAAGCATGTTGACAATGGGAATAATCACCAGATCCCAGAGCCCCTGGGCCTCTCCCATTGTGATGGTGCCAAAAAAGGACAAGACCATGAGGTTTTGTGTGGATTACAGGAAGCTAAATGCTATCACCCAGCCTGACCCTTACCCCACACCCAGAATAGAGGATCTACTGGATACACTGGGAGGGGCAAGGTTTATAAGCACCCTGGACCTGACTAAGGGGTACTGGCAAATACCCCTAGATGCCGAGGCACAAGAAAAATCCGCTTTCATAGTGGAATCGGGCCTATATGAGTTCAAAGTGCTGCCCTTTGGGATGCGAAATTCAGGGGCTACGTTCATGAGACTTATAAACGAGGTCCTACGGGGATTAGAATCTTTTGCGAGGGCCTATATAGACGACCTGGCCGTATTCAGCAGTTCGTGGCAAGATCACCTGAACCACATAGGGATTGTGCTACACCGGCTCAGGGAGGCTAATCTAACGGTTAAGGTTTCTAAATGCAGAATGGGAGCTGCTGAGGTGACCTACCTGGGGCACAGGGTGGGCAATGGGCAACTGCGCCCAGAGCCTTTAAAAGTAGAGGCCATTAAAAACTGGCCAACCCCTAGAACTAAAAAGCAGGTCCAATCCTTCATTGGTCTGGCCAACTATTACAGGAGATTTGTGCAGGGATTCAGCGACATTGTTGCTCCCATCACAGACCTGACGAAAAAGGAAAAACCAGACCGGGTGCTGTGGACGGAGGCCTGTGAGCAGGGTTTTCAAAGCATAAAGAGCGCTTTGGCCAAAGAGCCTGTTTTGGCCAGCCCAGATTTTGAAAAGCCTTTTTTACTATGTACAGACGCTTCCAATATTGGGCTGGGGGCAGTGCTAATGCAGGAGGGGGAAGGAGGTAAGAGACATCCCGTGGCATATCTAAGTAAGAAATTGTCCCCTACTGAGCAAAATTACGCTACCATTGAAAAGGAATGTTATGCCATTGTCTGGGCTGTCAAGCAACTTAAGCCCTATTTGTACAATAAAAAATTCACTGTGTTGAGTGATCATGCCCCTCTGGTCTGTCTGCACAAGGCCAAGGGCAACAACTCCAGGTTGCTGCGTTGGAGTTTGGCCCTTCAGGAGTATGAAATGGATATAGTCCACATAAGGGGAAAGGAAAATATTGTAGCTGATGCATTGTCCAGAGTGGAGAGCTCTTAGGATGCAGTCAGTGATGTTTGTGACATCCCTTCCTGCATCAATTTTGCGTTGGGGGTGTGACGTTATTGATATAATCTGGGACCATATAGATCATTGGTGCAACCAAGATCCTGTAGTGGCACCCAGATCTTGTATAAAGGGGGTCAAATGGGGTGTCTAAGACAAGGTTATGGTTTACTGGTTATAATTATGCTGTCTATATGTGTGTATCAATTTTGTAGTTGAAGTTATGAATATTGGCTCAATACTGTCTGTATTTCAAACTTATGCTATGCTGCTGGGGGACATCCCAGTCAAACTGGTGTTAGCTCTGCCTAGCCTGCTTGATGGCCCATTAAGGACCATCAGCTATACAATGGACCCATTGAGAGAAGGCAGATACGCCTTGTAACTCAGCAAAGTATGCAGGGACTCGCCCATGTGACTCCAGACTCCATGTTGCTGTAATTTTCCACAGTAAGAACAAAGAGGTGTTCTTACACCTGGAAAAGACTATATAAGGCTGATGCCTCATCTCCATCTGGTCTTCAATCCTGCTTCTTACCTCTGGAGGAACTTTGCTACAAGCTGAAGCTCTGAACAAAGGACTGAGGACCCATCCCAGCGGGGGATGTATTCCAGAGACTGGATTTGAACCTGCAGTTTATTCTATCGCTGCTGCAAGCCTGAACCAAGAACTTTGCCATTACTGTATGTAATTGACTCCATTTAACCAATTCTAGCTTTCATCTCTATCTCTTTCCTTTTATGAATAAACCTTTAGATTTTAGATTCTAAAGGATTGGCAACAGCGTGATTTGTGGGTAAGATCTGATTTGTATATTGACCTGGGTCTGGGGCTTGGTCCTTTGGGATCAGGAGAACCTTTTTCTTTTACTGGGGTCTTGGTTTTCATAACCATTTGTCCCCATAACGAGTGGTACTGGTGGTGATGCTGGGAAACTGGAGTGTCTAAGGAGATTGCTTGTGAGTCTTGCGGTTAGCCAGTGGGGTGAGACCGAAGTCCTCTTAGTCTGGCTGGTTTGGTTTGCCTTAGAGGTGGAAAAACCCCAGCCTTGGGCTGTAACTGCCCTATTTGAGCAATTTGTCCTGAGTTGGCACTCTCAGTTGGGTTCCGCCAGAACCGCATTGTCACAGGAGGATCCAGCTATGTACAGCTGTGGCAACACTTGGGGTGACTGTGTCCCACGAGGGATAGAGGATACAGCTGTGGCAACATCTGGAGAGCTAGTGTCTGCCTGGGAATAGAGGATCCAGACCTGGCAACATCTGGGGAGTTTATTCCTGGGCCAGGGATAGAGGCTACAGCTGTGGCAACATCTGGGGTGGTAGTGGTCTAGTTTCTGGCTGAGGATAGACGGTCCAGATGTGTCAACATCTGCAGAAACAGTGTTTAGCCAGGGATATGGAATACAGCTGTGACAACATCTGGTGACTTAGTGACTGGGCCAGAGATGGAGGATCCAGCTGTGCAGACAGTGGCCACCAGAGGATACAGTTGTAGCATCTTTGGGGAGGTAGTTTATATCTGGCAATAGAAGAGCCAGATGTGTCAACATCTGCAGACGCAGTGTCAGGGACACGGGATACAGCTGTGGTAACATCTGGAGAGCTACCGTCTGGGCCAGTAGGACTGAATGTGGCCTCAGCTAGAGGAGCCAGTGTTCAGACAGGGGTGCTGTGTACAGATGTGGGGAACATCTGGGGAGAGGAGAGAGAGAAAAGAAAGGCAGGCGGAAAGTGAGACCAAGGGGAAGGGGATGGGAGGGAGGAACAGGGGCCGGACCGAGAGGGGTGGGGATGGAGGGAATGGGGCAGGGCCCGGACGGAGGGGTCTGTCTCACCGCCCGCGAGTTCTTGGCCTCCTTCATGAGCTCCCGCGCGTAGAGCACCTCCTCCTGGACGGTATCGGCAGGGCAGCTGTGCAGAGCCCTCACCTCTTCCTGGACCCGCAGGCACAGCCGTCTGATCATCTGCTGGGGGACAGGGCTATTAGCAAAACCCCCGGAGCCAGCCGGGACCCCCGCCCTGGGGCCGGATCAGAACCAGCGCCCCCTAGAGGGGAAAGGCCCCGTGTCCCATTCCCGGCCTCCTTGAGCCAGCCAGTCCCACCCTGGAGCTGGCGCCCCCTAGAGGGGAAAGGCCCTGTGTCCCATTCCCCACCCCCCAGAGCCAGCCAGCCCCCTGCCCGTGGGGGATGGTACGGGGAGATGGGAACGTTTACTTGCTCGGCGCTGCTGGTGCCGATCCCCTGCTGGAGTCGGAACGCCTGCTCCTGGGAGAACTTCTGGGAATGGCCATTTCGGAGGAGGCACCATTGGATCTGGGGGGGAGGGAAGGGAGAGAAGCAGATGAGAGTCCCCTTGGGATCCTTCCTGTCACGGAGTGTGGGGGAGACAGGGCCCGGCACCCCCCACTTCCTGCAATTCACCGGGACTCTCAGCCAGCCAGTGACACCGAAGGTTTATTAGCCGACAGGAACACAGCGTAGAACAGAGCTCATAGGTACTGACAACAGGACCCCTCAGTCAGGTCCAGCTTGGTGGGTAGGGAGTCAGACCCCGGTTCTGGGCCTCCCTCCGTTTCCCCAGCCAGCTCCAAACTGAAACTCCCCCTAGCCCCTTCTCTGGCCTTTGTCTCTTTCCCGGGCCAGGTCACCTGATCTTTGTTCTCCAACACCTTCAGTTGGCACCTTGCAGGGGAGGGGCCCAGGCCATCAGTTGCCAGGAGACAGGGCGTCGGCCATTCTCTGGGCAGATACCATCACACCTGCCCTCTAGGGGTCTGCAACAATCACACACCCTTATCCCACCACCTAGATACTTAAGAAATGCATAGGGGAAACCGAGGCACCCACACAGTATTCAGAAAAAACATTAAGAACGTTCCCACTTTGTCACACCCCCACCCCCTCCAACCGAGCCCCGAGGGCTCCGGGCTCTACCCACCTTCTGCCACACCTCGTCCGTCCTCTCTGGGGCACTGCGGTAAGCAGCTGTGATGTCGCTCATGGGGAAGGACATGTACTTCAGGGTGTAGTTGCTGTAGGGAGGGGTATGAGGTTAAATGGGAGGGGGTGTTGGGAAAGGGCCCCCCAGATATCCAGGGACTTACCCTTCATATCTGTCAGAGTTATGGTCTCACTTCCTCCCAGTTATCTAACCTCCCCCTCCCACTGTTATCACACACCCCATCTCCCCATTATCACCCCCTGTTCCTCCTCCAGTCACCCTCCAACCAACTTCTTGTCTGCCCATTATCCCAAGCATTGTCCACCTCCCTCTTAACATCCAGCCATCCCAACAACCCAACCCAAACAACCCACCACTCCAATGACCCTTCCAATAACCCAAGCCAACTCCACCCAACCAAGGACCCAACCCAATTCCACACAACCAAAAACCCAACCCAACTCTACCCAGCCAAGAACCCAACCAAACTCCACCCAACCAAGGACCCAACCCAACTCCACCCAACCAAGAACCCAACCCAACTCCACCCAACCAAGGACCCAACCCAAC